AAGCAGTATAACAGCTACTGAATATAAAGTATATTGGTACCACTGGACTCTTTTGTAATTAAAACATGAAAAATATTTAACTTCATAGCACTGTTTTGTTACAATACTCATTGAGACCTGGATTGCCAGCTGTTTAGAATAAATAACTTTTTGCAGATATGCAGCTTAAGAGGGATGTGAGCAAAGTTTTGTCTATTTTTATTTCAGAAGGATTTTTAAAAAAATTATCAGTTTGAGATTTTATCGCAACCTTGTGTACATTCTTTTTACTTCAAATCTAGCAGCAAGATTGGTGTATGTATTAGAAATCATGCAGAATATATACAATCTTTCAGAACTATAAATTGGATTCCTTTGTGCCTTGTGAAAGTTCCATTAGTTTATTTTGATTTTCTTTTTCATTATAATAGCAGTCTTTCCTACTTCTGTCTCAACTCAGCATCCTGTCTTTGACAATGGCTGTTCAGTGCCTACAGGGAAGTATGGACCTGGGGGAGGATAACAGCCATACTCCTCCCATACAGCCTGTCAGCTTCCAGTCACCTGTAACTTGGTATTTTCCTGAACCTAAAATGGTTTCTTTGTGCTTTAAAGGCTTTAAAGCCTTTGACTGATTCTTCTTGCATGAGCTTGTCTAGTTGACTTTTGAGCTTACACGAACTCTTGATGTCTGCAACGTTTTGACTCTGGTGCGTAACTATGCACTGTGTGAGAGGACCTTGTCTTTCTTGTTTTGACCCTAAAACCTGATAATCTTTTCAGTGTGTCCTAGCTTGTGTAATAAGTGTATTGGATAGGCATTTCATAAGTATAAATATAATACGTTGGTTCAGAAAAGCATCCTGGAGATACAGAGGCTATTTCAGTGCTCATCCTCAAGTATATAACTTGAGATTGGTTTTTCTCCCTTGTATGTTACTTTACATGTATTGATTTTTATCAGATGCTTTGTTTCTCTGTCATGTAACTCTTGTGAAGTTTTTCGCCCTTGGATTTGATTTAATCCTTTGTCTCTGCTTTTTTGTTACTTATTTTAAGAGTAAAATTCTGATTTTTTTGGAAGTTTTCTACAAAGTATGGCATCCACTCCTAAAAGTACTGTTGCTTTTGGCCTTTCTGCATGGTAATACCCTGGCATTATGACACTTGTTACTCTTTTACATCTGTGTTTCTTATCTGCCTAGTATATCAGTATGCTTTTTTAGGGTCAGTCATTCCAGGCAGTCACTTCTTAGTTTTGGACTTAGATCATTATTTACATTTTTTCTAGGTTTTGTTTTGTTTTTTCAGTGCCCTTTTATCTCAAACTGTACACTGAGGGATGGGAAACAGAGAGATTCATTAACAAGAGCTTCAGAATTACCATAAAATTATTGTACTATATACAATAGAGTATAATGAAGAATTGTACTGACTTTGAACTAATAATATTCTTGTTTGTTTTGTTTTGTAGTGAATATGTAAATTTTACTGACTAATTCTTCAAGTGAATGATTAAAAGCTGAAGTAGAAATAGTGAATACAGGAAGTAAATATGTATTTTTGGAATGAATGCATTCTGTGGTCAGTCCTAACTTGCAAATTTCAAAGATTAATGCTAAAATAATCAGATATAGCCAGGTAGTATAAAGATTTTAACTTGACTGAGTACAGCAAAAGGATCTTTGGCCCTATGAAAAGCAATACTACAGAAAGAAGTGACAATAAGCAGAGGATTAGATCTATAACTGGTTTTAAATATGAGTGGGAATAGATTGTCAGCAATTTAAAAGTATCCTTTCGGTGTAACTGTAGTCTATCTATTTGAAGGTGTAGGCAGAATTTAATCATATTGCTCACCATTAAAGTGTAAGATTAAAACTTTGCTTAGCTAAAATCTGATGCCAAGAAGGGACAGATTCAATGTGAAGTTAATATGGAGGATAAATTGGTCTACAGTGAATGCGTATTCAAATGTTGTCGGAGTAACTCTTCATGTGTCAATTGATGATAGAATGTCTGAGGGTTTTTTTAAGGGTTACTGGTCAAGAAAAATAAACATTTTGTTTAAATAATATTTTAGAGAGCAGTCAGGAAGATATACGATGACAGACTGACATATGTATATCTGTGTGCAGTACAGTAAGAGAAGTAGATTGACAAGCAATCAGCAGTGGAAATCAATTAAATAATGCAAAAGGCTGACCAGTTGGTGAAAATGCCAGTTCTGTGGGTTGCTGTGATCAAAAGGAAAATAGATTGGTGGAAATGATTAGGAAAGGAATAGAGAACCACAGACGGTGAACTGTGATGCTGTATAAATCCATATCACTCCCGTATCTTGAATACTCAATACAGATCATATGAAAGATACTAAGAAAGCTTGACAGGCTGATCCAAGAGTATGGCAAAGGTTTTTCTGTGAGGACAGGCAAGCTGATGCTTCTCGAAATACGGCTTGTAGACAGGTTTCTGTATGATGGCAGTCTGTGAAATCATAAATGGCATGGAGAAGGTGAATAAGGAATGGTTATGTGGTTATTCACAATAGAAATAGAAGGAAATGTTAGAACTAGCACAAGGAAATAAGAGCCACATTTTTAAGAGCCACAGCAATAGCATACCTATTTACCTTCTAGAGAATTAGTTTTTATTAGAAAGTAAAGAATGGGCTTATCTGCTATTCAGTGAAAGCAGTATGAATATGAAAGGAATATATACATATCTGCTGGTATAAGTAATTTTTAGGTTATGGTAGTTTACTTCTCTGATTGTGCATGCACGTAGAAACAAATACATCTGCTTTATAAGACTTTTTTCTGCCAGTTTTGCATTCTGTGATATATGAAGGGAATTGTTATGTGGACAGATAGCACACAAATTGTTCTATCCCCTCTTTGTTGATGCTCATAACGCACTTCAACCAAAACTTTCTTTAACATAATCATTTAACAGCATGCTTTTTATTTTCCCTTCTGTATGTTGTTTGATTTGAATTCCATACCCAAATAGCAACTTTGGTAGAGAAGAACATAACGCACTGCTTGCACGGAAAGACAAGATGGGGACTATTATTCTTAGGCCCTAAGCAGCTCCTTCCCACAGACAATTGTATGCATATAAAGAGGTTAAGGTTCCACTGAAAGTACTGCTTTATATTGGCAAATAAATTAAAAGAAATGCTGTTTTACAAAACAAATGACTTAACACTGCTGCTGCAAGATTTATAATTAAGAATGCCAAAAAAATGCAGGAAGTTGAATCACTAGATGATCGCCTGAGATCCCTTACAGCCTAAATATTTCTGTGATCTCCTTCACAATATTGTCAAAACCCTTAATTATGTTTCATTTTTGATGTGTAGTTCATAAGGATAGATGACTTATATTTACTTATTAATAGTCCATTTTTAATTGATTCTTATCCTGAGAGGCTCCTGGAACCTTCTTAACTTCAGTCTCTTTTCCTCAGATTCACATTTTTATCTTCCACACGAAGTTGTGAACTTATTAAAGAACATCATCCCAGATTTTTTTCATGTTGTTACTACACATACAAGAAAAGTGATGATATTAAATACACATTTCTCTGTGGTAATTTTTGGGAAAGACAGAATCAAATATAGTTATCACATAAGGATAATAAGGAATTTACAGTCCATTAGCAGTCAGAAGAGATATTAACTCATTAACCAAGAATAAATATTTTTAATAAACCTTGAAATAGCAGGAGAAACTGCAAAGGCTGGAAAGTGCTGAGTGGTCTCCATTGCTGCTAGTGTTTGAAAAGTGCAAATGGGATGACTTTACAGAAAACTGTAAAAGCCTGTGATTTTTTTGAATGGAATGATGGAAGATGCTGGATAGAATTTTATCAACCTGTTATTCCGAGGTTTTGAACGTTTTGTTCTTCCTGCGGTACTGGTCAGACAAGTTAAAGGGTTCAGGAGTTGGTAGATAAGCTTAAGGAAGCATGCATTGATGAAAAAGAAATGGTTCAATGAAGAAAACCTTGAGTTTGTCTTCAAATTTTAGTGCTTGAGTTTGATCTGAATTTATTTTGCAAAGAAATTCATACATCAGACTTTGCTAGTTATCTAATTACTTATATTACAGGCTAGCACAGCGTTGGAGGAATATATTCTAAACTAATTGATTTTGTTAATTATAAGTTTGTCTTTATGAGTCACTCATTCCCACTTTCCTTTTCATCACTGTAAATTTCTAAGATTTTTTTAGCAAATGGAAAAATCAACGTTACTTTCTGTTTGTGCTTGGAATATCTCTTCAGGAGTGCTCTGGAACTGTGTGTATAAAAATGAATGAAGATAATAAGAATAGTTTTTAGGTTTTATAAGGCTAAGAAGTCTTCTCGAGTCAACTTTCCTTTTGCTCTTTAAAGCAATTTTAGCACATCCTGTTTGATCAGTGAAGCTACTTGTAAAAAAGCTACGCATAGAAGAGGTTTTTGTCTGTAAAAAGTAAAAATAGTTTGGCATGTTTTTTTCAAATTATCTTTGTATGTTAGATTTGCAACTGATATTCTAGTAGGTAGATCAAATTGAGACAGAACGTTGAATTTACTGAAATTCATTGCATAACCTGTGCTCTCACTCTTCACAAAACAGAATTAGTTGTTTGAGTCCTCATCATAATAACGTTTTTTTATCCCATGTGGCCTAGTTAGGAATGTACGGGTTTTTTTACATTTGAATGTTATAAATAGACCACAAAACTAATATTGCACTGTGAAATTGTTTTATCCAGTGGCTTCATGAAGTTACTGTGATAAATTTTGTGACTGTATTAAAAAAAACAATAAATAAAATACATGCATGGATAAGAGTTGAATATTAGCCTAGAATAAGTGATTAGAATACCAGCTAATTTAATCAACAAGGCCAGATTTGTCTTCAAGCAGAACTTTCACCACTTTCTCACCAGAGTAGCTTATGCTAGGTTGACAAGCCTTGGTTCCAAAAGGTGCTTCTATATTTTCTGTATTTCATTATTCAATTTTAGCTTCCAATCCGTGTGCTGCTAATGAGGGCAGAGGTCCATGTTCTCACATGTGTCTGATCAACCACAACAGAAGTGCTGCATGTGCCTGTCCACATCTGATGAAACTGTCTTTAGACAAGAAAACATGTTACGGTAAGTTTTCCTCCCAAAGCCTGACAATTTTATTGATTTTACAGTTTTGAACTGGACAAATTAAAATACGTAATCTTAACAACAATCTCTACAGTGCATTTTAATGATATATTTTCAAGGGACATCTACTTTTTGAGAATTGACAGCTTGTTCTACTATATGAGTTGTGTGGAGCTGTGATAGTTATCACCACAACCATTTTTTCTGTTGCTTATGTGTATGATGTGTTAGTAAAACTGATCTCTGCAAAACAGAAAGGTTTATACAGGAAAGTGTGAAATCAGGAAATGATGAGTTAGGTAAGCTGAATAACAAAAAGGTATACTTAATAGCTTAAACCTCTACCTGTTTCTCTAAAGTTGTCTTAGTTTCATTTTAAAGGATTAAGAAAATGAAATTAAGAGTAAATATTAGACATGCAGCATTGCAAAGGAGTTTTATTAAAAATGACAATAAATACTTCTATGTTATAAAAGCCCTCAGAACATCAAATAATTGTGACTATTATCTGTAAAACCTTGTACTACGTTACTCTTGTCGGGGTTAATTAATAATGTTTATGAAATTAAAAAAATAAATAAATCTGTCATATCAAGGATATTGCAGGGAAAAATGTTACCATTACTGTTCCTTCACAGGCATTTGCTCCAATAATTTAGACTTTTGAGATAAAAACAATAGAGTTCTGTTTCACCTTTAATGTATTACTTTTTTTCGTTAGTGGATGTCTAAATTAGAACAATCAATGCGTTCTTTTTCTGCCACCTGTTTGCCTTTCACTGCTTACACATACATTGTGGAATTCCTCCCGAGTGTTCTTATTTCCAAAACTTCCCTGTTTCAGTGATGCTCTGTTGCCCTGAGATACCAAACGTTAGTGTCTGTTACAATGTGCAAATGAAACAGTATGTTTTCCGTTGGGATAAGTGGGGTAAAATTTTTAAATATAATTTTTTAATATTTTTTTCTTAGACATCCACAAGACCATATTGATTTAGTGGTATAGTGACATCATGTCCAGCATCCAGAATTAATATTTTTCTCCTATGATTTTTATGCTTTGTGACATACTTTATTTCTCAAGTGTCACTAGGATGCAGGTTTCCTGGAGATGTTAAATCAGTCTCATAAACTTTATTTACACATTTCTAAAGTGATTTCAAATGAATGATTTGGACTTCTGTTAGCGATGTGAAGAGGATGAGGAGTGATGTTTTCTGTTTTTCTAACAGAAAGAAAGAAGTTTCTTCTTTATGCAAGGCGTTCCGAAATAAGAGGAGTGGACATAGAAAACCCCTACTTCAACTTTATCACGGCCTTCACTGTTCCTGACATTGACGATGTGACGGTCATAGATTTTGATGCTGTTGAAGAACGGTTATACTGGACTGATGTGAAAACACAAACCATCAAGCGTGCCTTCATTAATGGGACTGGTTTAGAAACCATTATCTCAAGAGGTAAACAGCATAACATTGAATAATAATAATGTAGATAATAATTCATTATAGGTAAATGTGTGTTATAAGCATTCTATAATATGAGCGTGCAAGTTCTTGTTAGGTGTATCTGTCACTGGTATTGGATAATTGATCTTAACAAGAAGAAAGCTCAATTTTGTTTAGGATTCGAGTTCATTTTATTGATTCAGAATTCGTTTTTATTTAAGTAAATCAGGATGTAATTGTAACATTACTTTTTATACAAGATTGAAATGTAAATGGAAATAATGTCTTCTGTGGAAGGTAGAAAGAATAAAGATGAAAAGCAGAAAAATAATAGTATCCTGATGTAGCTTTTCATTGAAGGATTTAATGTGCATTTCCTATGTCTTTTGGCTGTCTGTCCTGACCTAGCGAAGAAATTAGCTCCAACAGAGTTATTTTTTCTTTCCAGTCCGTGTAGATCTTTTGGCTTTGGCACCATTGGTGAAACCCACGATACGGTAGCTTTGTAATTTTGGTGATACTGGTGTTCTTGCAACATTTCTCATGTTCAAACTGCCATCAGGCTGTTCGCAGTGCTGGAATACCATGAGGAAGTGGAGTCTTTCAATTCTGTGTCTTTGAATCCTGTATAAATTTGTTCTGTCGTTGCTGCTTCAGTTGCTTATAGTACTGCAATTTTTCAAGTTTTCCTTCTTACTGAGCTTTTTCATTGTAGGTAGGTTGCTTACAGCAATAAAAGGGAACTGAAAATATTGCAAATGGAAAATCATGGCTGGCAGTTTTTTCTGCAGTTAATGCCTTTGTTGTTCCAACACCTCTGCTCTGTACTTCGAATACAGAAATGTAATAGGTCGTAAAGTCTATACCTGATTGCTTCAACCCTATGTCAGTAGCTCTGGTATTAAAGTGATACCATTTGTTGTCCTTGCTAAAGGTGGGGTTTTGTTTGTTTGTCAGCTCCTCTCCTGGCAGCACATGATTCTTTCTATTTTGTAATATAACTACCTGTTTGAAAATAGGAAAACTTATCTAACGGACTATCTGGAGGCAAAGTTTGCAAATTCTGGTGTCACTTTAGAGCTTTAGAAGTTTGGTATTAGCATGTTTTGGGAAATCATTGGACAAAACCAGCAATATCCTGACTTGACTCTGTAGATTAATGAATTTATTTATTTTTTTAGTATCTTCATTTTTTCCCTGCTATCTTGGAGACAGCTTTATTAACAATTGGAGATGTTGCTCACTAGTAGTAGGGTCCTGCTTGGAGCTCTTGTTTACATCATGAACTGAAGTGCCCAAACAAGAAAGAATTGTTGTTGTGGGTTTTTTTTTTAAAAAAAAAGGTAGTAAAATAAAAACATTGTTTACTATATAAAATGCATAGTGAAAAATTAAACTTGTCGAGAAACTTAATGACCCTTAAAGAAACATACTATGTGTGTTTCTGTTTATCAGCATTCTTTTGTATCTTTTTTTATTATGGTAGCTTCTGTGGTGGAGATTTGTTTGGTTGGTTGCGTTTTTGTGTGTGCCAGATGCAACTGATTATATATAAAATTTGCAACATCATGATGTTCTGGCACATCAAAACATTATAAAAACTAGTTATTATGTGTAAATGATCTTACTTGCTTATGGTTATATTTTTATACTACTTATAAGAACATAAGAAGCTTTGTAAGCACATACGAGTGGGATTTCCACTGGGTGAAGTCTTATGCCAATGCCACAAAGATGCCAAAGTCATACTTTAATCTTTTTAAGAGTATGAAATGCTTGTTTTCTAGTTCCTCCAACCAAAAATCCCAAAAAGGCAGGGGATCGGTTTAAAATAGGTCAAGACTATGTATTTGATGTCCTTTGCTGCTTTCTCTAAAGTTGCCAAACTTCCTAATGCTCAATCCCTGTTTCACCTTAGGTACCTGCAAGTCAGTCCACAGCCTTATCCATGTTAGTTTGTCAATGATAATAATTCTGTCAGTGGAAGCAACCATGTTTTGTTGACAAAGAGATAGTATACAAATTAGGAACTATAATGAAATTATTAAATCACCCTTAGCCTGTTTCCTCATTTACAAAGATGATGGCCAATATGAACCATTGCTATGCCAAGGTAGAGTGGCATGGTGGCATGATCTTGAGCATTGATTTTTATACCCAATGTTTAAGGCAGGTATTAACATATATGACCTTTTTTAAATCAATATCTCGCTAAGGAAGACTATCAGATACAATGACACTTGTGAAGCTTCCAAATTAGTCTTATCTTACTCATGTTTTGCTACCTCAGGTAATACTGGTGGTGTGGGTTAACCCCAGAAGGCAACTAAGCCCCACACAGCCGCTCACTCACTCCCCACAGTGGGGTGGGGAAGAGAATATGAACAGTAAAAATGAGAACTCCTGTGTGGAGATAGACAGTTTAATAGGAAAAGCAAAGACTGTGTGCACAAACAAAGCAAAATAAAGAATTGATTCACTGCTTCCCATCTTCTGAGAGATGTTTTGCCATTTCCAGGAAAGCAAAGGAGTAAGTTGGAGTCTCCAAAGCCTTCAGAAATAAAACCAAAAAACTTCAGTGATGTAGCTACTTACCTACTTACGTGCTGTAGAACTATGCTATAGACGAGTGCTTTCAATTCAGATATTCTGGACTGAGCCTTCCTTTCAGAAATAAAACCAAAAAACTTCTTCAGTGATGTAGCTACTTACCTACTTACATGCTGTAGAACTATGCTATAGACGAGTGGTTTCAATTCAGATATTCTGGACTGAGCCTTCCTGGTCCTGAAGTGGGAAGTACACTTTTAAATTTCAGCATGGTTTTCTTTTAGAAAACCACTTAATGTTCTATACGTAAAGTATAACTAACAAGTACAGAAATATGAACCTTCCTCTTAGGATATAAGTAATATTTATGTTTATTAAATGATTGTTGAACTACCTAGTGGAGGATGACTGATTCTACATCATCATCCCTTAAAAAAAAGCCACAACAAACTACACTTTTTAATAGTGCACTGAGTAATAAATGATTTCTTAAGTAGAAAAATGCACTGCAAAAATTCAGTGTCTCTGATTATTATTTTTGTACAATAGATTTTATGCTAATTTTTTAAAGAAATATTTATGGAGGACTTTCCAAGTCTTCAGTGCAATTTCCATGCTCTTATTGCAATTGTATTGCAATAAGGCCAAGAAAAAAAATGATGATTCTTAATTCTTAGCAACTAGTTTATAAATACATCTGAATAGAATTTTGCACAATGTTGTTAACAAACTGTAGAAGAAATTGTGGGGAGTTTTTATCCAAGACTGAGAATAATCCAGAAAGAAAATCAAAAGAGCAACTCCTTTCTTTTTTTGCAGATATCCAGAGTATCAGAGGTCTTGCAGTGGATTGGATATCACGTAATTTATATTGGATTAGCTCAGAATTTGATGAAACACAAATTAATGTGGCACATTTAGATGGCTCCTTGAAAACCTCAATCATCCATGGAATTGATAAACCCCAGTGTCTTGCCGTTCATCCAGTAAAAGGGTAAGATATCTGCAGTTTTAATAAATAAACTATGGTGAAGCTCTTCAGAAGACTGCTTCTTCGTTCAGATTTTGAGTTTGTCCATTCTGTTTTCTTTCAAACTTGAAGTAAATGCATGTGTTTGAAAGGTTTTGCTGAGAATTTCTTAACTGAGTACTGCTTCCCTACCAAAGCTTACTGTCGATTAAATCATGTAATCGTTAGTTGTGTATTTTGCCTGCTTCTAAACTAATATTTTCACTGCTTATGCATTAAAAATACTGTGTACACAAAGCAACATTTTAAAAATGTTTATTTTCTTCTTCAGTAAGCTCTACTGGACAGATGGTAACACAATTAACGTGGCAAACATGGATGGCAGCAACAGCAAAATACTCTTTCAGAATCAAAAAGATCCTGTTGGTAAATACCTTTTACCTGTTTCTTTTTTATTTGATAGTGCTTTATTACGAACGTTATCTTGAAATTATATTTAAGTATCCTACAATGTTTTTGATACAATATTGCAGTGAAAAGAAGAGGCACAAAGAGGTGAAAAACACTGATGTACTTTTATGTTTCACAATTTAAGATATTTTTGACCCATTCTAATTGAAATCTACTGTAGTGGGTTAAGTATAGTGGTATTAACTTCTAGGATTACAGTAGACTGAAGGTGAAGGAGAACCTATTTGTATTTCTCAATCTTTACATAATGGGTTAAAAAATGTAGAGCGCAGGGTTTTCATAAGTTATGGATATATATGAGAGAATATTTAGACTGGAAATATAGAACCTTCCTTGCCAGAATCACAGGTGCATGATCAAGGGAGAACTTGACCCTTAAATTTCACATACAGAATAGAGCAACAGTTGAAGCATACACTTCATATGATGACTCAGCCTCAGTTTTAGTATTTGAGACTTATTATAGTTGCTAAATTATGGCACTTTCTGAAAAATAAAAGCACTCTCAGGAAGTACTATTAATTTATTTTTGGTTTAGGTCTCTTTCTTTTTGTAATTTCATTTTTTTAGGGAGTTAAAGTGGTTACATCAATTGTTGTTGCCTTATTAATGGCTCATAGATGAAGTGATTATATTTTGTAGCATTTATGGGTTTTCATAACTGAATACATTAAGCAAGCAGAAGCAAAAATTGCTTTAAATAGTTAAATGATTGAATAAATTTGGCAGAAGAATTACTCAACATACGTTTTAGATCCTAAATTCAAAGAATTTTCTTGAAATTGTTTAGTAATTGTTTTATTATTGATTTGATTTTCTATCTATCCACTTGAAGAGATAGTTATCTATTTATCTGGAGAAAGAAAGATTTCTTGGTTTGTTTTTTTTTTTCCCCTGCCTGTAAGTATATCACTACTGTCAAAGGCTGCATGTGCAAATCCATATGGGTTTTGTGATGTGTTTATTCATGGACATGTACAGACTTACTGCTATCAGATGAACTCTTCATGCAGTTAAACATTCCTGTAAGCCTTGTAGGAATGACAATTGTGACGTACATTTTTTTACTTCAGCACAGAGCTGCAAGTGAGACAATTTATTTTCTTTCTGTAGTATTGCATTTATTTTTAACACCTTTGAGATCTGATAAGAATTACTTGGAATAGGTTATATTTCAGATTGAAGATTCTTATTGCATAATGAGACCTATCACGTAAGGACACCATAGAGATTTAATTATTCTCTTCTTGGCAGTCTGGAAGTGTGCTGAATCATAAAGTATGTAAAGTCTAGAATATGTAGTATGTAAAGACTGTAGAGAGATATAAATGTACTTGTCTAAATGTCTAAATTGGAGACACATGGATTTGACAGATGGACCACTCAGTGGATAAGGAATTGGCTGGATGGTTGCACTCAAAGAGTTGTGGTCAACAGCTTGATGTCCAAGTGGAGGCCAGTGACGAGTGGTGTTCCTCAGGGGTCGGTATTGGGACTTGTGCTGTTCAACATCTTTGTCGGCAATATGGACAGTGGGATTGAGTGCACCTTTGCTGATGACACTAAGCTGCTGGTGTTGTCAACACAATGAAGGGAAGGGATGCCATCCATAGGGACCTTGACAGTCTTGAGAGGTGGGCCTGTGTGAACCTCATAAAGTTCAACAAGGCCAAGTGTGAAGTCCTGCACATGGGTCAGGGCAATTTGAAGCACAAGTACAGGCTGGGCAGAGAATGGATTGAGAGCCATCTGAGGAGAAGGACTTCAGAGTGTTGGTGTATGAGATGCTAAACATGAGCCAGCAATGTGCACTCACAGCCCAAAAAGCTAACTGTATTCTAGACTGCCTTCAAAGAAGCATGGCCAGCCCGTAAAGGGAGGTGATTTCTGCCCCTCTACTCAGCTCTCATGAGACCTCACCTGGAGTACTGTGTTCAGCTCCGAGACCCTCAACAGAAGAAGGACATGCAGCTGTTGCAGCAAGTCCAGATGATGGCTGTGAAGACGATCCGAGAGCAGCAGCACCGCTCCTATGAAACAGGCTGAGAGTTGGGGTGGTTCAGCCAGGAGAAGATGCCAGGGAGAGAGAGACCTTCTAGCAGCCTTCGGGTACTTAAAGGGGGCCTACAAGGAAGCTGGAGAGGGACTTTTTACAAGGACGTGTAGTGATACGACAAGGGGCAATGGCTTTAAACTGAAATAGTTTAGATTTCAGTTAGGGATCTAAGGAAGAAATTCTTCACTCTGAGGGTGGTGAGGCACTGGAACAAGTTGCCCAGTGAAGCTGTGTATTCCCCATTTCTGGAGATATTCAAGACCAGGTTGGATGAGGCTTTGACCAAACTTATCTCATGGAAGATGTCCTTGCCCATGGCAGGGGGTTGGAACTAGATGATCTCTAAGGTACCTGCCAACACCAACCATTCTATGATTCTGTGATTCTAAGTTTTGAAATAGCTTGGATTAAAAAACGTACTGGATCACTCAGATATATTCAAAGGACTCTATAATTATAAGTTCGATGGAGGATGTTGTTTGGGTTTGGTTTTTGGGGTTTTTCTTGGGTTGTGTTGGGTTTTTTTGAGTTCAATTCTTTCTTCTGAACAAACTTAGTCTCCATTTTGCTTGTGATTACAGTACAGCCCTATTTGCTGTTTTAGCTGTTCTTGTTTCATTTTTTTGGCTGACTCTGTACTTGAATTTCCCTTACTAATAGAATAGTCTACAAACAAAATGGTTGCAGATGTGAACCAAAAATCTTTTTGAGACTGACTCTTGAAATTCTCATCTTAAATTTATTTTGTTTGTTTAAAAAAAGTTTTATATTAAATACGTATGTGTGTTTAGCAGAGAAATAAACCTAAGGATTTCCAAATTTTAAGCACTGTTTTTTCACCCGAAATGTCATCAGCCGTAAACAGTAAAAAAACCCCAACCTTTCTTAAGGTGACTTTCTTAAGTCATTAAGGTGGGAAATATGAACAAAATTCCAAATACTGTTCCTATAATTCATCTAAGCTGTAATAGTAGTGTCCATCACTTTATTTAGGTAGTAAGAATGAATCCCATCTTTAATGTTCTTGGAACACATAGTTTCCTTACACTTCCACTGCTTTTTATAGAACATTTCCACAGGTAAAAATAAAGTCAGAGAAACATACATCATTTAAACATGAGTATTCAAAAAATGTTATCACGAGTCATTTACTTGAACTTCAGGGATGCACCAAATTAAAATATCAAGCTTGATTTTCTGGTAGTGGAAGCTTCTTAGCAAGAACATATATGGCTTTAAGATTGGAACCGCTGTGTATAAATTACTGGAATAAACTTCGTTATATACTTTTTAAATGGCATATTTCTGGAAATTAGAGTAAGTAAATTGGAAAATGCATGTCAAAACAGTGATTGCCTAAATCGTGGTAAGATATATTGTAAAAAACCACAACAGAATTCTCCAAAACCAGTATTTTACAATCCACATGTTCAGGTTGACTTTGGCAGCTGAGATATAAGGTGTAAACCAGTCACCCATGCTAAAAAGCATCATGAGTATCTGTGATGCTTATGCCTACTAAGTCACTTATTTTCATCAGTAGAAGAAGCACAATTCCTGGGGGAAAAAAAAAAACAACACACCACCATTAAAAACCAAAAACCGTATTAGAAATAATATGTTTTCACAAAGGAAAATACTTTGGGTAGAAAACTGTGGTAGATTTGAGTAGAAGGAGATAGGAATGTTATTTCTGTCAGTTGCTATTGTGTAATTGGAATACCCGTGTCTAAAAACACCAGTTTAATATCTGAAGAAGTAGAAAACCTGACAAGGTGACATTGTAATTGCTGTGTAGACTGTATTCCCAGCAACCCCATAAGTAGATGTGTCCAGGTGAGGTTAGTGAGCAGCTGAGTGGTAGCAGTCAGGAGTTAGAGAACAGCGAATGCTGTCCATCTCAGAGTAAGGGAACATCTATACTTGCCTATTAATTTTCATATTTTGGATACTCGTATATGAATTCTGTTTCGTATTCCCAGGCAAGTTTCCTGTGCCAGACCTAAGTACTGCAAGTGCTGTGTGTCTCCAAGGTCCATTGCACTGTCTTTTTGCTTTTAGCAATGCTGCTTGTGCAAGCATGAAACCATGTATGTGCAGAGAGATGCTGCAAGATCAATCTCTCCTGAAGGCACCACTTGGTCTCCTTATCCTCTCTTAAGAGTGTGTTGTTTACTTCTGGGTGATACACTTGCAGAGAGGGGAAAAAACATCAGTAACTGTAAAGGAACTGGAAAGCTGTTTTTCAAAAGCTTAGTAGGCTGAAAGGTGTTTCCTTTCCATGTCAAACGTGTGTAAAGAAGTAGTGCATGATACCAGCTGTAAGTAGTGTAGCACATGGCACTGCTGTCTCCCAAAAGGATTTCGAAAATAGATATGGCTTTCTACAGAGTAGTAGTTTACAGGACGGAGGAGGAGTACTGTACGATATCTAGAGGTTGACTTGTGGAATGAAATACAGTATTTTTTGGCAACTGGCTGCTTGATACCTAACATGAGTTCTGGGAAAAGTCTAGTACCAAAGCAAATTATTATGGCATGTATTATCACCGTGCCAAGCATATTTCACTGTGGGAAATCTCCTGCTACAATTACTTGAACGCTTTTAAAGGATTATAGAAGTCTGAAATACTTCTTAGTTCTCTGCTCTGAATTCCAGAAAATTCTATGTTTTGTTCATTTAGTAGGTTATTTTGCAAGTGTTTCTATTTCTACAGTTCTCTTGCTTCTAATTCCAGAGAACTGATCATGAGGTCAGTTCACTATGAAGTGAAATTAAAAGTAATAGTATAAATTTATTGAGAAACAGTATTCGGTTTTGGTATTTCAGCATTCTAAGGGAAGATGGCTGCTCATGTAGGGAGAGAACAGACTTTTTACAGTTCTGAATCACAAAATAAAAAGTGGCTTGTTTTCTAAGTCTTCATGTATTCATGATTTTAGAATATAAATGATGGCTTCTGGTTCACATTTACTAGTGGTTAATGACCTCGCTTCAGACCTCAGTTCATTCAAGTAACTGTTTGTTGCCAGGTAATGCTCTTTCATTGGTCAGTCAAAGATTGATTTCTGTAGGTGTTGGGAGAAATAAAAGGCAGAAATCTTCTTAAAAGCATGGTTTTTTTCACTATAAATGGCCAAATTTATTTGATTTTTCTTGTTTTGTTTGTGGTTTTTTTTCTAACTTTTGAGTGGATAGATAATGTAAGTGCGTGTGTGTGTATATTTCTAAAATACACTTGTTGTGAAAACAGCTTAACACTAATTGTATATTATCTATTCAAGCCACAGTTAAAGTTGTATACATTAATTACAGGTTTATCAATAGATTATGGGGAGAACAAACTTTACTGGATCAGTTCAGGAAATGGAACCATAAATAGATGCAACTTGGACGGTGGTAATCTTGAAATAATAGAATCAATGAAAGAAGACTTAACAAAAGCCACAGCTTTAACCATTATGGGTAAGTCCAGTAGTAATAACTTCGTTTTTTAAATGATTGGAAATTAATTAATAATAAAATATCAAAAGCTTGGATAAGCTATTTTTCTTTTTATGAGTACTGCATACAGTACATTCACTAGTGAGACTGTTGAAAAAAGTTGTTTATATTTCATTAAACAGACAATTTACAATCTGTATTACAAGTATATATTTCTAAATATAGTTTTGCTTATATATACACATAGGGTGAAGGTAACAGACTGATGGCTTATGTTTACTATAGTTACTTGTAAAGCATGTTGGAAGGAGGTGTGTTATGCTCTTTATTCCAAAGAATTATCTAGGATTCATTTCTTCTGCAGCTCACTTTCTACTGTCTTAATTCAGAATATCCCTAGTTTGTTGGATTGGCTTGCATGTTATGAAGACTTCTTTGGGTTATGAATTGATGATCGATGATTTGGATACATTGATGATTTGCATTTTCAGATGTCTGCCAATATTCTGTGTCTTAAATTGGTTGAAAAAAAAAGTTCTTTTTGTTATACTTTGCACATTAGAAACATTTAGGATGTTTAAAAACATCTAAATTGTTTAAAAAATCAAAAGAACAACTGTAACATAAGGAATAATTCTTAAATAATTAAAGAAGTCTTAAAGTTGCAGATTGCTGAATACTATAAGAATATTACTTCCGATTGGCTGTTTCTCATATGCATTTTCAGCTCTTGGCCCTTTCTGGAGCTAGGATACAGTGTGTTTAGAAATCCCAGTCTGACTCAGAACAAGTATTTATATTATTTTAGAGATAACTCTAGAACTTTCCATATTTCCTCCAAATGCTTTGCTAAACCTCATTTCCAGTTCAATTAAAAATTATTTATATTTATCTTGGATTGTTCTGAAAAAAAGCTCAGTTGATAAGTAGACTTTTGTTGAGATAGTTGACTCATCGACTGTTAGTCTTTTTATAAAGTATTTTATTTGATTGATTAATTATATAATGTACATACAGATGATGTGCTTGTGAAAGTTATGCTAAATTAACTCCAAAGACTTAATACATATGGTGTAAATTAAGTCATATTTTAAAGTAATAACTGCTGAAATAGTTTTATTATACACATACTTGGCCAATATTGAACTCTAAATGCTGTCAAAATCTGTTGGAAGATGCTTTTCTATATGCATTCATAAACAAAAGCTAGTATTGTGTCAGGAGGAGTCATGAATGTTAATATAAACAAATTGTCTTTTGATGATTTGATTGTGACTAGAAATAGAATGAATAGGTGACCTTTAGGGTACTATTGGAAGTCTTTAATACGAGATGTTGTAAAGAGACATTTGAGATGTCTGTGCCATCAAGTCTTCATCTGTGATTCAGAGAAGCTACAACAGTGATGATCCATCTGGGATATTGAATAAAGAGTGCATAGCTGTCATTTAAAGAAGAGTGGGTCATGGATGTTTGCGTGAAAGTAGTTGACTTTTTGCAGTGTGGAGATTCAGGAACTTCTGCTGCATAGTTTTTTTTTTAACATATATACATCTAATATTCTTAGTGTGTGATGCTTTGTTTTTATGGGTGATTGCAATTCTTCCTACTCAAAATTGGTAAGCAACACTTACAGTATGCTTGTGTTTTTCTGTTTGTTTTACTCTGGAGTTTTGTCTTTTTTTTTGAGCCGTAGTTATGATAAACAGCAATATGACATGGCAGTAGGATTCTGTATATAAATCTGTTGGAGAAAAGTGCAAACAAATACAGTTTTATAAACAGTACTGTATGTGCTGATTGAAAAACATGAAAAGTTTCGGTATTCATTTATCCTGTATGTTTTTATATTGTTGAGCATACTGTAGCAACATAAATGCCATCTATTTTCCTGAAGTGCTGGTGACTTTACATCAGCTTCTTATAGTCAGGCTTTCATGCATGTAAAATGAATCAGAAAATCCAATGCAATATGAAGCGGGATAAGGGATGGATCTTTAACTGATAAATGATCATAACTAATAATATATAAATAAAGAAGCATTAATAATTTGTTCTAATGTAAGATTTAACATGATATTGTGTGAAAATTTAATACCCCTGTCGATCTGCTTGCCTACAAGTTTAATAGGAAGCTTTAGCAGGTGTATCACAGTAATTGCGGTGTTTATTGCATCATTTTTGGTCCATTTCATAAATTTTCTCAACTACTTTAGTCTAAAACACAGGAAACACGTAAAAAACAAATGACCTGGAATATTTCTTCTCTGTAAGCTAACTTTTTTTTACCATTTGAATTCAACAGTGTCTGAAAGAAAACAGATACAGAGTCCTATAGCCTTTGCTTTTTTGTCTTTTGCATTTATTGCCTCTGCAGGTAAAAGCAGTATTTTAGCTTATATTTTTTGTTTCTTCATTTTAAGTATATGATCATGTCGTATTGTTGGGTTTTGTTTCCGTTGGGGCAGAAAGAGGAGGTAGAGTTGGGTATTTGGAAACTCCCTTTCAACAGTAGTCTCACCAGGTCATGCATTGGTCAGTTGTCGATTATCAGAATCTTTATTGGTCTGAAGAGGTAAAACGAAGAAGCCGTGGAGGGAACCTTGGTGGATTGAGGAGACAGAGTAATGTGAGCTGAGTTCCCTCACCAACAATAAGTGTACTGAAGGAGAAAGGATTGTCAGAAAATATGCTGAATTTTTGATAAATGTACTGTACTGTTGATCTCTTCTGGCACCTCAGTCCTTCATGCTTCTGAATTTTTTTAGCTGTTCATGAAGCATCTCGTTACTAGCGTCTTTCCCAGCCTTCAGAGTCTCCTTGTCAGAAAGCACGAGTTCCCGGAGACCCCCAGGGATAATCTAGTGGTCCGCGTGAAGAGCCAGTGTCTTCCGCTCTTTGTCTGAACAGCCTTTTGCACAGAAAACTGACATCTTCTGGCAGTTTGTGCTGGGTTTACGGCAGGGGCTGCGGAAACAGCCCCTGTAAGTAGCAATGAAAGGTTTAATGTGCTGGTTTTACATGATGGGGTTTTAGTAGCACGGAAGGGGCTGTGGAAACGGCCCCTGTGAGAAGCTCCCCCTGCTCCAAAACCAGTCAGAGCATCCTCTGGCCAGGTTGGATCCCCCATCCCCTCGGGCCAGGGCTGAGCCATTAGCGCCTCTGAGAATGCCCTGTTTAGGATGGGGACAAAGGAGCCTGAACTGGGGCTGGACCTATGCTGAAGAGAGGAGGCAGGTGGGCAGGTGACCGCCTGCATTGGGCTGCTGCTGCCTGACTGGAGAGCTCCGGAGCGTCTTGCTCCCAGTGTGCCCACTGGGCGGAGGTCATCCTGCCAGGACTGCCGAGGTTCATTGGGCCTGGCGTGACTGCAGTGGAGAGAAGACTGAGACCTGAGAGAAATGGCCACGCCGACACGAAGGACGGTGGAGATGGAGCAGGAGGAGGTGCCGGAGCGGAGGTTCCCCTGTAGCCCACAGTGAGATGGCAGTGGCCCCCCTGCCCTCATGAGAGAACGGCGGAGCAGAGACCCACTTGCAGCCCGTGGAGAACCCCATGCTGGAGCAGAGATGTCAGTGCCTGAGGGAAGTTGTAGACAGTAGTCTCTGTGAGCTGCTGGAGGCTGATGATGAGGTGGAGAGAGAGAGCCCGTGGAGAACCTTTTGCCGGAGTGGGCGGCAGCTCCCTAAGAAGCTGTGACTGTGTGGTAAAAGCCTGTGCTGGAGCAATCCGATGGGTAAGGATTACATCCTGCGGGAAGGACTCACGTTGGAGAAGTCTGTGGAGTGCCCCACTGGGCAGGGGAAAAGAGTGTCAGGAGTCCTCTTCCCTTGAGAAAGGAGCAGCAGAAACAACGTGTGACAAACCAACCTGCAGCCCCCCATTGCCCGTCCCCCTGCGCCACCGGGACAGGAGGTAGTGCCGGGGTGAAGGGAGGGGTGGGGGGAAGATCGTTTTGAGATCTGGCTTTGTTTCTTGTTGGTCCTCTCTGAATGAGCCGTTAAGGAATTAAATTGTTTTGTCCCCAAGCCGAGTCCATTTTTCCCGAGGCCATGGTCGGTGTCCCTGTTCTTGTCTCGCCCCTCAGTCCTTTGGTTACGTTTTTCTCCTCTCCCCCTCATGAGGGGAGCAGTGAGTGGCCGTGTGGTGGCTGAGCTGCCACAGGGCTGAACCACCACACAGTTCTCAGTGGTTTTTGCTCCGTCTTCCAGTTCACATTCCAAAAGATTTTTCAGAACTATAAAAAAAAACGACTGACAGAGGCTTTGCCCAAGAGTGCCTCCCTCCTTGATTTGGTAATCTCTCTACTATTCTGATATCTCCTTGTTATCTTGATCTTTGATTCTGTTAATTTCAAAATGGGAGAAGAAATGAGAAGCAGTTAGGCACTCCATGGTTATGCAGTGTGATATGATCTCAATAAATAACACTAGCTAAATCAGTAAAATCTTATTTTGCATTTGAATATAGCTATAGAGTAGTTCAGAGCTTCACCAGGCAATGATGGATGCTACTCCCCTTTAGTACTTACTCCTCCATTTCCTCATTGTTTCTACTTCGTTGCTTTCAATCTCTCTATTTTATATTTTAGTGTTACAGTTTAGCCATTGTAAACTGTTTGAAAGTTACCACTGCTGTTTCAGATGTTTATTGTTTAGTCCTTATATATATATATATATTTTTTTTTTTTTTTCACCATTCTGTATTTACATTCTTTCATTTATTGACTTTTCTACTCGGTGTCAGTCATCTTTCTTTTTCCATGTGCTGAGCTCTAGTATTCCTAGTCTTTTGCTGACAGTTTTTGCTACATTTCCTTGAGCATGATATAGATGAGATGAAAGTTATATTCCATTTGAAAGTCAAGCATTTGAATATATACGAAATCCCTATATTTTTCCATGCCTACAAAAATTTATTTTTGCTATTGCTATTCTGTATTGCAAAGATGTTACTATAAATCCATGATTAAGTCAAGTTTATTTTTCTGCTCCTCTTGCTTTTTCTTAAAATACACTTTC